TTATGAACTATATAGATGTCTAACCAATGTACTTACTATATACTTAAAACTAATTAAAATAAATTTAAAAAAATAAATTAAAATAAATAGACAATCTGCATAGATTTATAACAAGAGATTGAATGAGTCTACAAAGAAAAGCCCAGGCTTCACCACTGAATTTCACCAAACATTTAAAGAATTAATACCATTTTTTTTTTCTGGAAATAACTTATTCTTCAACATCAAAGGAGCACCGCTGATGGTAGAGGACATCCCTGTCCTTATGCGTTTAGCATTTTCACAAAGAAGATTGCGCCTGTATCACCGGAAAGGAGGGTTTTTACATAGATAAGGAGGCCCATTAATTTGTTTATTGCTTTGGAATATACAGCTCTTAACAAGCATGTGCCACTTGGTTACAAGCCACCTGGATTCCTGAAGGCTATACATATATCAAGCCCCCATCCCCTCTCAGGTGTGGAAATCCACTGTCTTGCTGCTACCCAAGTCTGCTTCTGTCTGTAAGTTCTTTTAATAAACTCTTTGTTTAATTCTGGAGTTGCCAGCCTCTTTCTTCGGTCTCAGCCATGTCCTCCTTCAGAGGTCAGTTCCAGTATACCTCAGGGAATTTTTTCCAGTATAAAGGGCACTATCAGGAAAAGGAAGACAGCCCACAGAATGGGAGAAAATATTTGCAAATCATATACCCGATAGGGGGCTTGTACATAAAATACATAAAAAACTCTTATAATTTAATAATAAAAAGACAACCCAATTAAAAGATGGGTAAAGGGTCTGAAAAGACGTTTCCCTGAGGAAGATGTACAATGGCCACTAAACACATGAAAAGGTGCTCGACATCATTAGTCATCAGGGAAATGCAAACTGAAATGGACTCATATCACTTCACATCCCACTAAGATGGCTAAACCAAAAGGCCACATAAGACAATTGTTGGCAAGGACGAAAAGAAATTAGAACGCTCATATACTGCTGGTGGGAATGTAAAATGGTGTGGCCCCTTTGGAAACTAGTGTAGCAGTTTCTTAAACGGTTAAAGAGTTACTATACAACTCAGTCATTCTACTTATAGGTATCTACACAAGAAAAATTAAAATATATGTCCACAGAAAAACTTGTACATAAATGTTTATAACAGCATTATACGTAATAGCCGAAGAGCAGAAACAACCCAAATGTCCGTCGACTGGTGAGTGAATAAACAAATGTGTTGTTTACACACCACACTTGGATAGTATTACATCCAATGGAATATTATTTGACAATAAAAAGGAATGAATTACTGATACACAGTACCACATAGAAGAACCTTGAAAACATTATGCTAAGTGAAAGAAGCCAGACACAAAAGACCACATGTTTTATAATTCCATTTGTGTGCAATGTTCAGAACAGGCAAATCTATAGAGACAAAGTATATTGGTGGTTGCTTAGGGCTGTGGCAGGGGAGTCTGGGAAGGGAATGGTGGTATAGCTAAAGGGTACAGGGTTATTTTCTAGGTAATGAAAATGTTATAAAATTGACTGTTGGCATTGCATGAATCTGTGAATATACTAGGAACCATTACATTATACACTTTGAATGGGTGACTTGTATGATGTTTGAATTCTGTCTAATAAAGCTGTTATTAAAAAAATAAAAAAAGCAAGAGATCAGCCAAAAATAAAAAGGAGTGAAAGCGAGGTAGGCGGCCTGAGGGTGAGAGCAGACCTGTGCGAAGAAGCTCAGCTGCGAAAAGAAGGGAGAGACGCTGCAAGACCTAGAGGTAGGTGAGGGCGATTAGTGTCTGAGAGCCTGGGTCAAGAGCACAGGTGGAGGGAGGGCTTAACCTTGGACAGCAGAAGGACTTTATTCTAGAGCACAGCTTCTCCAACTTTACAGCAAGAGGGCAGGAGCCTAACTTCAGGGGGCACCTTGCTCTAAAACGACCTCGTGCCATAGATAGAAGTTCATTTTTCCTTGGGCTAAAGCCAACGAGCTAACACAGATGGTGTCCCCAATTACCGGGTAAAGTTAGGATGAACTACACGCGACAACTAGTGCCATCGGGTCCTTTCATTTGAGGACTAGTAATCGCTTATATTGAGAACGTGCGTAATGGGTTCCATCTACCTGGATGTAAAATGGAGTGAGATTCTCTTCTGTCTTTGTAATCTGGCAGATCGCCTGTGATACAATCACATTCTGGTATAATGCTTACTCAATAAACATGTGCTTTCTTTCTCTACTACCTTTCTGAAGAAGAGGTCTGGGTTGGGAGAAAATACTGATTTTTATCGGTGCGCAAGCTTGAATCTGCTCCAGGATGGGGCGTGCCTCGCTCCCAGCTGAAGCTGCTGCTTGGTGCTCTTTTCCACACTTAGCTTTCTTTTACTCTGCCCTAGCTTCCCACGTCTGCCAGCTTAGGCCAGCACCCAGCACGTCCTCCTTAGGCAACTGGCTCCTTTAAGAGCACCCCCCATCCCAGCTCCTCCCTTAAGCTCAGTGGCCGGATTTCCCTGTTGTGCAGCCCAGGCCTGTAAAGCCATGGCTCCATCTTTCTGGCCTGCTGTGTACTGAGACCGGAGTGCTGAGGGGGCCCTGGGTGCGGGGAGTAGGCACAAGTGGGCGGTGACAGGTGCATGTGGGACATGAACCTCTGTCCAGGGCTTGGGAGGGACGCAGAGCTGGTACAGAGTGGATCCCGGGACGAAGCAGAGACACTCAGGCAGGAATAGGCAAGATCTGTCATTCATTAAGCAGGCACCATGCCAAGCCCTTTCTGCACCTTCAGAGGCGGGTATTGTGTTCCCATTTGACAGACAGGGGAACGGAGCTCAGAGCAGCTAGCTGAATTACCTGAGGTCAAACAGGTAGCAAGGGGCAGGGTCAGGACTCGAACTTGGGTCAGTGTGACTCTAAAGCCCGATGCTCTCTCCTCTGTCTCACTGCCTGAAGGGGGTCCTGGCTTCTTCCTAAACTTCCTTTGTCCTTGGCTTTCCTGTCTGTGGTAGAGCGGGGGTGGGAGTGGTACGAAGTGGGTTATTCCCTGCCCCTCCGACACCAGCACTCTGGTCCCTTCTTCCTCCCAGGGGTTACCTGGAGATGCTGCTGCTGCTGCTGCTGCTGTTGCTGCTGCTGCGCTCTGGTCCCTTCTTCCTCCCAGGGGCTACCTGGAGATGCTGCTGCTGCTGCTGCTGTTGCTGCTGCTCCTGGTGCTGTTGCTGCTGCTGCTGCCACCGCTGGCCGTGCTCCGGCAGCAGCAGTCCCAGGGGCCCAGATGGTCCTGGCTTGCTGGCCTCCAGCACCGTGTGGCATGGGAGGTCCTGTGCTGGGCGGCCGCCTGGCAGCAGCGGAGACTGGAGCAGAGCTCGCTGCACGTGGGCCAGAGCCAGCGGCAGACCCTGAGGGGGTGTCTGAAGGAAGCCCAGGGTCCCCGCTGTCCCCTCACGGGGAGCACAGGTGTGTTTTCCAGGGTCTGGGGAGGTGGCCCAAAGAGAAAGCAACCCCACAGGACAGTCAGAGTCCAGGATCTGAACATGTCTCCTCCCCTCTTCCGCTGCCAACACAGAGGGGCCTGACCCGGAGACCCTCCCTGGCTCTGGATCGGTCGAGATGAATTTTCCCCTCCTGGGCACTGATAGTCCCCTTCTCCCCAGACCTATTCTGGGTCCCTTCCTGAAACTCTTGGGAAATTCTGTGGCTTCATAAGGAGTTTATGGTGTCTTTGGGGCCACAGATATGACTACCTTCCGGAATCATCTCCCTCTGACCAAGGCAAGCCAGGCCCAGGAGGAGGAAAGTGGGGAGAGGCTCCTGCCTCCTACTTCAAACCAGCACCATGGGGAGGCCTCTCTGCAGGTAAACTGAGAAGAATGGAGCCCAGCCCCACCAGAAACCCCTACCTGCAGCCAAACCCTTCCATCAGGGTGGGCAAAGAACCCCCAAACTGGGGACTCGGGGTCTGGCTCAGCCCAGGGGCCAACAACCTCTTTTGTCTCCCTCCAGGCCACCTTGCTGGGTCTGGCAGCCCTAAACAAGGCCTACCCAGAAGTCCTGGCTCCCGGAGGCATGGCCTGTGTGACTCCCACTTCCCCCTGGCCCCACCCCCTGCCCTGGCCTTGCCATGCCCTCAGCCAGGTTACCCACCCTGGATCCAAGGCCCCTGGGGCTCTACTGTTGGAGGCACTGAGGTCCCCAGGGCTGCGGGCACTGGAAGCCAGGACGGCAGTCGAACTCTTGGACATCTTCTTGGGCCTGGAGGCCAACGGTGAAAAGCTGGCTGAGGCAATAGCTGCTGGGAACCCAGGAGCACCTCTCCCGAGACGGGCAGCTGAGCTGCGGGAGGCCCTAGAGCAGGGGCCCCGAGGACTGGCCCTTCGGCTCTGGCCAAAGATGCAGGTGGCGGTGACTCTGGATGCAGGAGGCCAGGCCGAGGCTGTGGCTGCCCTGGGGGCCTTGTGGTGCCAAGGGCTAGCCTTCTTCTCACCTGCTTATGCTGCCTCTGGAGGTCAGCAGGACTCAAGGGTGGTGGCCAGGGGACGGGGGCAGAAATCGCACAGCTCGGTGCCGTGTAGTGAGCCCTCCATTATCATCGCATTTAATCCTCCCCGACACACTGTATATCCTCCCCAACACCAGCAGCTCCATTTTACAGACGAAGAAACTGAGGCTTACAGAGGTTACATAAATTCACACGGCACCAGCATTTACTCCCAGGTCTGCTGCCTCCAGAACCACTGCCTCTTCCCAGTTAGGGCCCTAGGGGCAGTGTGCTAAGCCTAGGAAAGCCACAAAGGAGGGGGCGGAAGGGCAGCAGTGACATCAGATGCTCAGAGGTGAGGGCCTAGCAGAACACAGTGGCACCGCCAGATGAGAAGCTTGCTTGCTCCCCTCAGGAGTAATGGGCCTGAACCTGTGGCCGGAGCAGCCCCATGGAGTCTACGTCCTGACCCCTGGTGCCCCCTTGATTGAGCTGCTCCCAGTCAAAGAAGGAGACCGGGAAGAGGCTGCTGCCACCATCCTGCTGGCCGAGGCTCAGAAGGGCAAGGAGTACGAGCTGGTGCTGACTGACCACGCCAGCCTAACCAGGTGATTACCTGCCCACCCCCAGCCACCTCAGGCCCTCTGGGACTCTGTTGAGAGCCAGGGGCATGAGCTAATGGGTCCTTGGGCCTGACCTCTCCCCACGACCACCCTGTCAGGTGCTGTCTGGGTGATGTGGTACAGGTGGTTGGTGCCTACAACCAGTGTCCAGTTGTCAGGTTCGTCGGCAGGTAGGTGACCTCCCAGGGAGTTGAGGGGCCATCCTTGTGCCCTGGACTCTTCTGCCTTCTCGTCTCTCCTCTCCAGGCTGGGCCAGACCCTGAGTGTGCGAGGAGAAGACATGAGGGAGGACGTGTTCTTCGAGGCTCTGGGCCGAGCAGTGGTGCAATGGCCAGGGGCCAAGCTGTTGGACCATGGCTGTGTGGAGAGCAGCATTCTGGGTAAGCTTCTCTATCAGCTCCTGCCCCTGTTCTCGGGCTGGCAGTCCCCCAACCCATACCCATCCTCCTGGGAGACCTCTAGGAAGGAGCTAAGACCCGGCGTACTTCGCTGATCCTAGAAGTCCTTCCCCACATTTAACTCCCTTCCCTCCTGCTACAGTCTCTTCCCATTTCCGTTCCTCACCTGTTTCATACTGAGGACTAAGTTCCAGGTTCCATTTATCCCCCTCCCCACCAAGAAGCCCTATGAATGTCAGAGTGGGGACGAATGGGAGGGGCAGCGGTCATTGGCTGTGGAAGCTGCCCTGTTCACAGGAGTGCATGTGTGTGGGGTTTGTCTGCAGATTCCTCAGGGGGCTCTGCTCCCCACTATGAGGTGTTTGTGGCACTGAGGGGGCTGAGGAACCTGTCAGAGGAAAACAGAGACAAGGTAAATGAGACAGGGACAGGATTTCACTGCATGTCCCCTTTACTCTGCATACCCCCAGGTGCTGTGGGCACAACGGAATGATGGGGAGGAGGTGGGCAGGGAGAACTTTCCTGAGGCTCTGGGAAGGGAGGGGTGCGTCCCACAGACATGTGTCCCACAGAAATTCCTATCCATACATATGCTGGGCACAGTCAGGCAAACCTCATCCACATGCCACATGTCGTACAGCCACATGCCAGCCTCAATCAGGCCTTTCTGTTCTCAGCTTGACCACTGCCTTCAGGAAGTCTCTCCCTGCTACAAGTCCCTGAGGTTCCGGGGCAGCGTGGGCCCTGCCAGAGTCCACCTGGTGGGGCAGGGGGCCTTCAGAGAACTCCGGGAAGCCCTCGCTGCCTGCCCCTCGTCCTGCTTCCCTCCTGAGATGCCCCGGGTCCTTCGGCACAGGCACCTGGCCCGGCTCCTACAGAGCAGGGTGCTCTCCTAAGCCGAGGCCTGCCCAGTGCCCCAGTCACCCCCAAAGGCCACCTCACTCTCTCCTGCGGGGTCTTTCTGGATGGAGAGCCCTTGGCTAGGGTCTTTGACTCTGTCACCCAACAGTTGTGGATCAGAGCCGCGGGGGGCCTTAAGGATGTCTGACTTAGCCAGTTCTAAGCCGGCGACTTCAGGGGTATAGCAGACGCCCGCAGTGCCTGGCCCAAGTGCACCCCTCAGCCCACACTGGAGGTCACTGCCAGAGAGTTCTGAGACATGCTGATGGCTCCCGTGTCTCTCGGCCCCGTGCTCTGGGCAGACTGGAAGTACTGGGAATTAACGTTCCCAGCAGTGACTCTCAGTCAGCAGGGAACAGGAGTTGTGAATACTGACCTCGGCTTCACTGTCCCTCAGGGCGACAGTTCTGAAGTGTATTTTGCACCAGTTGTCCACAGTGGCAGCGCTCTTATTTACACAGTTCTTAATGGCTTTCTTTCCATCACCACTCCCTTACGTGTTTTCTAGGCTCACCTCCCAAATAAACCTCTTGCACCCAGATTCTTGACTCGGGGTCTGCTTTTGGGGAAAGCACAGTGGTCCCT